ACTCCCTGCAGCCTGTATCTGGACAACCACATCCTCTGATTTCTCCAGTACACTGCAGTAGCCGCTCTGGCGAGTGCTAAGGACTGCATCTGGTGGCTTGTCACCATCATCACTCTGTCCTCAAGCACCATCTACAGCCTTACTGTTCACCCTCTTCCACTAACTCCTTCCTGTTCACACAAGCTGGTCACCGTGGTCCTTAGTAGCTAAGAAGGAAGATGAACACAAGCCAGCGCTGCCCTCCCATGCTCAGCAGGCAGCTTCTCAGCTCCATTTCTCTCACCTTATGAATGCCAGCTGCTCCCCCCCACACCGCATGCTGGCTAGGAGACAGAAGCCTGACATGCACCTGCTTCATCCCCATTATATTTCCTGCTCAGTGTGCAACTCCTCACACTGCTTTCTGTTCTCAGCTGTAGCTCATTCAGCTCATAAACATCAGGTCTGCAATTTTTCTCCTGCACTGTGCTTTACAAAGCTTTTCTGAGGAGCTTACAAAGCATTCTGTTCCCCTAGGCTGAATGACACAGTTAGACAAAAACCTCAGCACTAAAAGCAAACATTCAGTTCATTGAACAAAGCAAGCATTTCCCAAAATAATCTTTTAATTTTATGTTCAACTTTGACATAATCTCTCTGCCGTTCTTGACTACTCCTGTACCAAGATAATGCTTGAAGACTGAACCAGTAAGAGAATAATGTTCCATCCTCCTCTTCCTGTACTTAAAGGCTCACTATTCATTTATTGACCATTTTTCCCTAAAAGGTACAATGGACTTAGCTGACTGAGGCAACTCATTACAACGCTTAGGAGAGAATACTTTGTGGTACTTCTTTGAACACTGAGGTACATACTTATATTTTGCCCTCTGAAATTTTAGAAAGAGTAAATGATTTGGAAAAAGCTACACAAGTTTAGAACTGTGACTGACTTTAAAGATATTATGGAGACATTGTAAAGAAGTGATGCACTGTACATGCAAAGACAGCTAAATGTATTTTTCGCATTATCCCATATAGATATAAAAAAAAATAATCACAGCCGCAACAAATTTTAGTGCCCCAACAGCCCCAAACCAGAAACTGTATGCTAGAGGTCACTGGGCTTTGGGGCTCCTTTTTTTGGCGTCTCATTTTCATCAGGGGAATGCAGTACTGTACATACACAAAGGAACTGACACTTTTTGATGTTCATTGCAGTTCTGCCAGAGGTTCAGTCCTTCAGTAACTCAATGACCTTACACAATCTAGTTCCTTTTTTTGTAGACATCAAGACAGTCCTGTTGCAAGTTAAGTTTTTGAAATACTGCATTCACTATAGCTAATATATAGAGGATTTAGCTTCAGGATGAAGATCACTTACAAATGTACCAAAAGTGCATCGCTTATGATTCAGTTCAACTTCTCTCTTGACTATACCTTACAAGGAAAATACAAAACCAAAGAGACCTACCAATAAGGATGCATCTGGCATTTCCTCAAATGAACATGAAGCATGGTACTCACCTTGCCGAGATTTAATT